ATTGAGGCCCTTCCCCCTAGATCTCGCCACCCCCCCACCTCCGGAATCTCAAGGTCCTTCGGATTTGAGTCTTCCCCTCCCCCATTCTGATGGGCACGATGGTTGAGCACCTTACTTTTGAGGGGGTCCAGGGAGTCTTTGGGGTTAGGCTACCATGTGGGGATCTGAGCCCCAGGATACCTGCCTCGGCCAGTAACTTCTGAAGTGCCAGGCAGGAGGTAGGAGCAGCAGCCAGGACCGTTGGGCTGCCCACTGGGCAGCTGAAGATACTGATACCCAGTAGTGAAGCAGTGTCACAAGACCCCGCATCAGTTCAGCTGCCAGCCAAGAAAGCGGTCACTCCTCTTACTCCAGAGCATTGGCGGCACCTGTCAAGGATTTGAAGCAGGTGGAGAGGGGATTGAGCTGGAGGGTGGTGCTCCGCCCTGACCTGTAGGCTCCTGGGTCAATGGCAACGCCTTTCTGAGCTCCCCCTCTGTGACTGCCTCCCAAAGGTGAAGGGTTAAGGCTTTTCTGTCCAACCATTCATAAACTGCCCTGCCCATGTTCCCCGGGGGGAGGGGGAGTTCAGCCTCCTGAACCCCGAAGACAGTCCCCATCCATGCCAGGGGGGTGAAGCACAGTGTCATAGGGCCCAGCCCATGGGTGGGGATGGGGACATCAGAACTGGGTTTGCATTCAGGCACTGGATTTGTTCATTCAAGTATTTACTCGGTGCCTGCCATGTACCTGGTAGGAGGTAGGCACAGTGAAACAAACAGGTCCAAAATGGCTGGGGGTAGAGTCCGGAGGGCGGGAGCATCGCAGTCAACAGCTCCTGGGCTACCGCTAGGGGGTGGGGCTGAAGGGTCAGAGATCAAAGCCAGGCAGCCCCTGGCAGAAGTTACCATTCTGTGGAAGCTTCTCTGAGAAGGGAGCAGGTGCGATGGGCGTCTGGCTGCGACTGGCCTTTTTACTGTTGCTGCTGCTGGGCCTGGGACAGTCCGCATGGCCTGCTGCGGTGGCCCTGGCACTGCGCTGGCTCCTGGGGGACTCTATCTTCTGTGTGCTGCTCGGCCTGGCCATGCTGGCGCGGCCCTGGCTCTACCCCTGGATGCCCCACTGGCTGAGTCTGGTGGCCGCGGCACTCATGCTGGCTGTGTTGCCCGCACGGCCACCCCCAGGGCTGCGCTGGCTGCCTGCAGACTTGGCCTACATCTTCGGGATCCTCCACCTGGGGCTAAACATCAAGGCGCGCATGAGCCGCCGGCCGCCCAACACCTTTGTGGATACCTTTGAGCGGCGAGCACAAGCACAGCCGGACCGGGCGCCCTTGGTGTGGAAGGGTCCGGGGGGCCGCTCGGTCACCTTCAGGGAGCTGGACGAGAGAGCATGCCAGGCAGTGTGGGCCCTGAAGGCCGAGCTGGGCAGCCTCACAGGCTTGCTTGCTGGGGAGCCTGCCGCCCTCCTAGTGCTGCCCTCCCAGGCCATTCCGGCCCTAGGTTTGTGGCTGGGGCTGGCCAAGTTGGGCTGCCCCGTCGCCTGGATTAATCCGCATGCCCGGGGGGCACCCCTGCTACACTCCGTACTGAGCTCTGGGGCTCGGTTGCTGGTGGTGGACCCAGGTGAGGACCTCAGAGGCTAGTAGAGGACAGAGGGGGATGGAGCAGGGGACAGACTTGGAGAACTGCTGTTCAGTGGTCCTGGTGGGGGCTGACTTTTTTCTTCACCACGTCTGTTTTGATCCTTTTTTCCAACAAATACTAATTATGGGGCTCTTTACATAAGAATGCAAAAGTTCTTCTCTGGGGGCTGCTTTCTGTATTGCTTGCAGTAGACTCTTCTCCCCTATCTTTGGGTCTCGGGTCTCCCCTCTTGATGTCAGATATGGGCCTTTCCCCAATTTCTTTTCCCTGCAGACCTCCAGGAGAATCTGGAAGAGGTCCTTCCCAAGCTACAGGCAGAGAACATCCGATGCTTCTACCTCAGCCACTCCTCCCCAACCCCAGGAGTGGGGGCTCTGGGGACTGCTCTTGACGTTGCACCCACCGACCCTGTGCCCGCTGACCTACGTGCTCGGATCACATCAAAAAGCCCTGCCCTGTTTATCTACACCTCAGGGACCACTGGTGAGGGTGCCCAGCAACTCTAGCCCTGACCTCTGAACCCTTATGCTGCTCTGACCCCAAGTTGATATGTGCCTCAAACTTGACCTCTGAAACCCATCCTGCCCTTTGATTGTGACACCTGGCCTGAACTCTGATCCCCAGTGTGAATTGAATGGTCAGCACCAGAATCCTGCTTCTGCCCAGTAAACAGCCACTAAATTTGGAATTTTTCTTCCCTGAGCCCACCCTCAAATCCCCATACTAGACCACCTTCTAAGAGCCTCAAGCCTCTCACTGCAGACCTGACCACAGAGACCCACTCCTGTATGCTGGTCCCTCTTGTACTGTCCTTTCACCACCCACCCTTCCCACTCCATTTGCCAGGACTCCCAAAGCCGGCCATTGTCACACAGGAACGGCTGCTACAGATGTGCAAGATGCTGTCCCTGGGTGGGGTCACAGCTGATGATGTGGTCTACACAGTCTTGCCTCTGTACCATGTGATGGGGCTTGTCCTTGGAATTCTTGGCTGCCTGGAGCTTGGTAAGACCTTTTCTGAAGACCCCTCCAATCCATGGGACCTCCAGACTCAATATCAGAGTGGGCTTTCAGGGTGACAAGTCCCCACAGGTTACCCAGCACCAAGGTTCTCACCTTTGACAAGGGACACACAATAGCAGGCCCCAGGGCTACTTGGACAGAAACTTGGTCACTTAGACAGTCCCTAATGGCTTTGCTGTGGTCCGAAGGTAATGAGGTGGTATGAATGCTGGGATAGTCAGTGAAGGGTAGGTATTCACCAAGAATTCCACTGGGCTATCAGCCTGGACACCTGATTAGCAATTCAGACTGGGACCTCTCTAATATTTTCTTTTCAATTTTTTATAAAAATTTTGAAACACATACAAATTTTTAGATATTTCTACATGATCCTCATGTACCCAACCACCCAGCTTTGGCCACCATCAGCGTTTTGCTTTCAAACATACACAGTAAGCAAAAGTAGAGAAAATAGTTTGATGATATCCCACATATCCTCATCCACCCTTGACAATTGTTAACATGTTACTAGTTTTATTTCATATATAATTCCCCTCTTCATTTCTGGATTATTTTAGAACAAATTTTAGCCACTGTATCTTTTTGTTTATAAGTATATCAGTATGTATCTCTAACATATAATGACAAAAACTGTCACCATAGAGGTGGCTGGGTGGCTTAGTTGGTTAAGCATCTGACTTTGGCTCAGGTCATGATCTCATGGTTCATGGGTTCAAGCCCCGTATTGGACTCAGTGCTGACAGCTCAGAGCCTGGAGTCTGCCTCAGATTCTGTGTCTTCCTCTCTCTCTGCCCCTCCCCTGCTCGCACTCTATCTCTTTCTGTCTCTCAAAAATAATACATAAAGCTTAAAAAAAAAAAAAAAACCTGTCACCATAGTGATATCACACCTGACAAAATTAACAGTAACTTTAATATCATCTGATGCACAGGTCATGTTCAAATCTTCCAATTGTCTAATTGTCTTTTTACAGTTAAAGTCCCTTCACAGTACTTGTTTGTTCTTTGCTCCTCTTTACCCTGCAGATTTTAAAGTTTTATTTATTTATTTATTTATTTATTTATTTATTTATTTATTTATAGAGACAACAGGAGTGGGCAGGGGCAGAGAGAGGGAGAGAGAATCCCAAGCAGGCTCCACACAGCCAGCACAGAGCCCGACGTGGGGCTTGAACTCACAAAATGGGGGATCATGACCTGATTCAAAATGAAGAGTTGGACTGTTAACCAACTGAGCCACCTAGGTGCCCCTCCCCTGGAAATTCCCTCTAGAGATATTAGATTCAGTTCAATTATTAGATTCAGTTCAATTATTGTTGGAAGAACCTTGGTGGGGTGCATTGTACTTCCTAATACATCACATTGAGGGCAGCCCATAACTATTATCCTACCTTAGGGAGGCTAAGATAAATAGGGGAGATTGATTGATTGATAGTTGGCACAATGTTACACTAGTTTCAGGTGTACAACCTTATGATTTATATACTGGGGAGCTTTATTTGGAAAACTCCCTATCAACGTTCCCCCTGGTTTTACCAGTTCTTGAAGACCTTTATGACATTCATAAAACATTTCTAATCATCATTAATGGTTAATATCCATAGCCCTTACTTAGCAGTGCTCACTTTGTACCAAGCATTGAGCTTGGTACACATTCTGAAGATAGGATTCGAACCCATGCCCATCTATGCTCGTCTCATGCAGGTAGTCCTGACTCCACTAGGGACACACAGATCAGCTCCAAAACCTGTGCTTCAGAGGGTCACAGTCATATGATCAGAGCAGCTTATCACAGTGGCATGGAAGCATGACCTGAAACCCTTTCTTCTCTCCCCTCTCAGGAGCAACCTGTGTCCTGGCGCCCAAGTTCTCTGCTTCCTGCTTCTGGGATGACTGTCGGCAGCATGGTGTGACTGTGATCCTGTATGTAGGCGAGGTCCTACGGTACCTGTGTAACACTCCACAGGTGAGGTGCTAAGATTAGGGCTCCATGGTGAACACCTAGGGTATGAAATCCCAGATGTCATACCAGGTAAAGGTTTCAGGTAGATTCACATACAGGAGTCAAGCAAGGTCCCTTAGGTAAAACTCCCCAGGTAACAGCCACAGATGATGAATCTCACACAAAGTTTCCAATCATGGCTCCTTTGATGATCAGCCGTGCTACCTTGGGCAGGTGACTTCACCTCTCTCAGCAGCCTCAGTGTCCTCATTTGGAAAATGGGGAAAATAATTCAAAGGGAATATTTGTGAGAATAAAACATATATAAAGAGCCTAGAACAGGGGGTGGCTCAGATGTGAACTTATACAGCAGTGAGGTATGGATCCCAGGTAAAATGCTCCACATAAGGCCCCCAGGTATCACCTTCCCCAAGGTGAAGTTTCAAGTCACTCCCCAATTTACCTCTAAGAAAGGCCCCTGAGTAACCCCTCCAGATAACTTCCCCCAGGTAAAAGTTCCAGGTACTACCCCTATATAAAAATCCCAGATATTTCCTCTAGGTAAGGACCTGGATTAGCCCTGCAGTCACCCCTAGGTATCTCTCCAGGTAAGGCTTCTAGGTAACTTCCCCCCAGGTAACCTCTGCAGGTAACCCTCCAAGTACAGACTCCAAGTAAGAACCCTTGGTAGATGCCCTAGGTATAGACCCTCCAATCACCTCCCAGGTAAAGACGGAAAGATGGAAAGGTAGCCTTTGTAGGTAAGGGTTCCTGGGCACACTTGAGGTCACTTCCTCTTCATTCTTCTTGGGATGTTCCTGCAGCGACCAGAGGACCGGACACACACAATCCGCTTGGCAATGGGCAATGGACTCCGAGCAGATGTGTGGGAGTCCTTTCAGCAGCGCTTTGGCCCCATTCGGATCTTGGAAACCTATGGCTCCACGGAAGGCAACATTGGCTTCGTCAACTATCCAGGGCGCTGTGGGGCCCTGGGCAAGATGAGCTGCTTGCTTCGAGTGGGTTGGGTGGGACAGTGGCCCTGATTGAAGCTGAGCTCACAGGACCTCTGCTGACCCTTCTCCATCCCCCACTCAGATGCTGTCCCCCTTTGAGCTTGTACAATTTGACACGGAGGCTGAGGAGCCTGTCAGAGACAGTCAGGGATTCTGCATCCCTGTGGGACTAGGTACGAGGGTCAGGAAGCCTTCCCTGGGTGTGGGAAGGACGGGGATCATCTGCTTCTTGGCTGGAACAAGTTGCCCAAAGCCTTGAGTTCAGTGCTCTGTGGTGGTGTCTACTGCCTCACCCAGAACCTGTCCTTGGCCTGTCTGACTACTGCCTGGGACCCTCTACCTCTCAGTTCTGCCCAGCTACCCTGCCTCAATCTCTTTTTCTGCTGGGTCTCTGGGTGTCTATTTGAGTTGTTCTCTTGAGCTCTCAGTGGAAGTCATGTCTTCCCAGGCATCAATCTCTTGTCAATATCTTCTCCTAGGGTCTTCTCTCTTGGGGGTCTTACACAGTCCTGGCTATATCTCTTTCTTCCCAGCACCATTTGTCTCTGTCCTTCCTCCACCCCTTGTTATCCTTTTTCTTTTTTAAGATTTTATATTTCATCTCATCTTATCTCATTTCATGTATCCAACATGGGGCTGGAACTAACCACCAAGATCAAGAATCACATGTTCTACTGACTGAGCCAGCCAGGTGCCCTGCTTGTTATCCTTTGTCTAGGCATCCCAATGCCTCCTTCTGTCTCTCCCTCCCTCTGTAACTCCAGGTCTCTTTCTGTCTCTTCTCTGGCAGGATCTCGATGATGGAGTCCATCAGGGTTGGAAACCTCCTGGCGGGGGGCTAGTGGGCTCCTGAGGTTCTTTACCATTGTTAATGCCCTAATTCCTGCTTCTACCCCAGGGGAGGCGGGGCTCCTGTTAACCCAGATAGTGGGCCACCACCCTTTCCTGGGCTACCGCGGGGCACGAGAGCTGTCGGAACGGAAGTTGGTGCGGAATGTGCGGCGCAGGGGCGACGTTTACTTCAACACCGGAGACGTGCTGGCTATGGACCAAGAAGGCTTCCTTTACTTTCGGGACCGCCTGGGGGACACCTTCCGGTAGGGTCCCCAGGGAACTGGGAGGGCGGATGGCCTGGGTTCCCCGATTCTTTGAGGGAGCCAGGCCGAAGAGGCGGGATTTCCGGATTCCAGAGGGGTATGGCTTCCCGATCCTGAAGGGGCCAGAGTTGGGCAGAGCCGGCAATCAGATCTCGTTGGAGGAGGGGCTTGGTGGGCAAGAGGCGGGACATCCTGTTTGCCAGGGTTGTGGTCACAAGCATTGGCTTCAACCCCACAGATGGAAAGGTGAGAACGTATCTACGCGGGAGGTGGAGAGCGTTTTATCCCTTGTGGACTTCCTGCAGGAGGTGAACGTCTACGGCGTCTCTGTACCAGGTGTGGAGGATTCGACTCATTAAACCTCCAAGAGCTTTATCCAGATTTTATCTGGATTTTGTCTGTGGGTGTTATCCAGATTTTAAAGGTGGGGGAGCTGCAGGGGCACAGCCAATGAGAAGAGATGGGCCAAGGAAGAGGGTCAGCCATGAGCACTGTGAGGTGGGTGAGTGGAGAATGATTGTTGTGCTTCTCAGGTTGTGAGGGCAAGGTGGGGATGGCTGCTGTGCGGCTGGCCCCAGGCCAGACCTTCGATGGTCAGAGGATGTACCAACATGTCCGCACTTGGCTCCCTGCCTATGCTGCACCCCATTTCATCCGTATCCAGGTGAGCTCAGGGTGGTGGAAGTGGGGGGGGGGGTCTTGGCCAGGGATTCACAATAGGGATTATGCTTACTGTCCCTGCAGGATGCCCTGGAGATCACAAGCACGTTCAAACTGGTGAAGTCCCGGTTGGTGCGTGAGGGCTTCAATGTAGGCGTCATTGCTGACCCTTTGTTCGTGTTGGACAACCAGGCTAAGACCTTCCAGCCCCTGACACCGGAAACGTACCAGGCCGTGTGCAATGGAACCTGGAGACTCTGACCATCTGGCCTGTCCACATCTGAAGTGGCAGTGCCCAATGCAGACTACCACTCATATTGGCAGGATCCTCTCCACCACAAATCTGTTGAGGGTTATCAAGAATCGCAGCCTGGCCATAACCCCAGTTGAAGAGAGTAAGATAACTGTGGGCCCAGTAGTGGAGTGAGAATAAACTTGGATGTGTACACATATGTCTGCGTGTGTAGGGCTAAGGGCAGGCAGCCCTAAGATGGGCCATTTTGGCATAAAGATGATTTTATGATAAAAGCAATAAAAACCCGGCAGATTCAGGAGTTCTTTATCTCTCCCACAACTGTCTAAAAGGATTTGATAGAGGATCTGCTCTAAGAGAGCTATCACCACAGATAACTACATTATGACAGGGAGGAACCAAGGAAGGCCTTTTTAATCGAATTCTTGTGTCCTGTTTCTGAATGCCCACCCCCCAAATATTTACTTTTTCATCTTCCTTTTAAAATTTTTTTTGAGAGAGAGAGCAGGGGAGAGGGGCAGGAGAATCTCAAGCAGGCTCCACTCTCAGTGCAGAGCCCAATGCAGCACTTGATCAAGAACCCTGGAATTGTGACCTGAGCCAAAATCAAGAGTCAGACGCTCAACCGACTAAGCCACCCAGGCGTCCCTTTCATTTCCTTTAAATTGCATTTCTTCCTATTGCAGTCATGGACCCCTACACCTTTCTCTGTTTAGTATGATATATGCCTCCTTTTGCCTGTCTTTGGAATTTTATGGCTGTGTGCACACTGTATATATACCAAATTAGATTTTCTCCTGTTAACATATCTCTTGCCAATTTGATTCTTAGACAAGCCAGAGAGACCTTGAAGGGCAGAGGAAATTCTTCCTCCCCAACAGTGGATGGAGATACAAGCGAGGAATTCAGGGCCTACTGTCCTCCAGAGACCTTACTTCAGGGTTCCCCCTGCTTCCCTACCAAGGATCTTGACAAGCCTCAAGGAATGGCCCTGTCTGGGCAAGGCCAGAAGTGTGATAGGATTCAGCAGCCTTGAAGCCATTCCAGGGTTGAGAGATGAGGCTAGCCTCAGGCAAAACAGATAAATATATGGTCTGTAGGATGTAAGATGTGCTATCATGGCAGTATGACAAGGACATCAGGCTAAGCCAAGAAATGTGGGCAAATAACTGGAAAAAGAGCATCCATGGAAGAATGCACCTGCAAAAAGGATGTGGAACAGGTCCAGAGCCCTCTGGTAAACGAAATCCAGTGTCTTAGGGGCCAGAAGAGCTCTCTGGGCACTGTAGGCAGGTACACGCTTTTGCTAGTTTCAGAAAAGAGTAGTGCATGCTGTGTTGGGGGCTTTAAATGTTACTTGATCATTATGGGAACTATGAACTGTAGGCCAAGGGAAAGATGTTGTCATGAGTGGCAAAGCCTAGGGGAAGTGTAGTCCTCACTGTCTGAAGAACTGGAAGGGCTTCTTTGGAATTAGGATAAATGCAGATAGGAATTTGAGGGCACTGAACCTCTGGTTAGTACATTCCACCCGTGTCAGGGGCTTTAGGTGCTGCCCAGTGATGTTAAGACCTGTAGACCTGGGAAAGGGGAATAGCACATATTAATCCTCAGTGAAGTGGTCTGTGCCCTCTCCATGGCAGGAATCACACCTGACCATTATGGGTGTTGTAGGCTGGGGCACATGTGCGTGTCAAGACTGAGATGACACAGGCCATGAGAGGTCAGATACTGCAAGTGACACCCGGGTCATTGTGGGAGCTGTTAGGTATAGTCTAGTGGTCATGAAGAACTCTATGATGTATATAGTCCAAGTGGGCTCAGGCCTTGAGCTGCTGTCTTCAAGTCCTCTGGAGTTCTGCAGCATAAGCCTGAAGGGACCACCCTCCACTTCCCCCAGTGCCAACTTTGTATGTGGCTTTCACTAAATCAGTGAAAGCTCACCCATGCCCATCTGATTCTAGCTTCAGAATGCCATTTCCTGACACCTCTTACTCCATCCTCCTATTTGTAGGTTTGTGTTCTGAAGACTCTCCTCCCTGTGGATTCATTGGGTTTCTGAACCAAGTAAGATGTGTTTGTTCTATCCATCTTGCACCAGAAAGCCAGGGAAGCCACAGCCAGCTCTAGGTTAAGAGCAGAGGGGTAAGCCTGGCAGCATAGGGCCCAACATGAACACATTAGTTTGGAAGAGGGCAATGTAAGGGCCAAGACATGGGGGAAGGCAGGTGATCATAGTTGTTTCCATAGGATCCAGATGGGAGCCACTGACCAGACCTGGGCATTGGGAGGCGTGGATTTGAGGAGGGTGGAGTAAATGAGTGATAGCAGGAGCCAACCACACAGGTGGGAAGGAGACTAGTGGGGAGATGGGCAGGGAACAGGCTGAGCTCAAGGGATCAGGAGGGATTAGGTTGGAAACAGCTCCAGGAACTTCAGTTCAAGATGCAGAAAAGCTTGGGGCTACCTACATTGCTCAGGTGGTTGAGCGTTTGACTTCGGCTCAGGTCATGAACTCATGGTTTGTGACTTCAAGCCCTGCATCGTGTTCACTGCTGTCAGCACAGAGCCAGCTTCCAATCCTGTCTCCCTCTCTTCAAAAGTAAACCTTTTTTTTTTTTTAATCTCAAAAAAAAAAAAGATGCAGAAAAGATTGTATATGACTTGCTGAATACCCACTAGGTGTTTGACACATGCCTTTGCTCCTTTCCCCAGAAAGCTCTCTATCAGTTAGAGTGGGGGATGTGTCTGCATTTCACAGCTGTGCAGACTGAGTCTGTGACCTAATCAAGGCTCCCTCATGGTGGTGAATCTGGGGGAAGGTGTGGAGGGGATAAGACCAGAGTGTGCACTAGAAAAGAGAGGATGAGTACAGCAGAGGTGGGCAGTTCCTCAGAAGCCTACAGGGTACCAGGAGGCTTCCTTCAGTGGACTTGCCCTCCAAGGATCTCGGAGAGCCAGATGCTGCAAGACAGCTCTCCCTGCCACCCTATCTCCCCTCCTTGTAGGACTTGTGAGGCTCCAGAAGTGGAAGATGGGTCTGAAACTGTTGGCAGGTGGGGAGTGAGGGAAATGTCATGTCTGTGCTCACTCTGTGTGGCAGATGGCTGCCAGACCTTGCAGGTGATGGGACTACAGAACCACCTTGCCTCAGATTCCCAAGCCTGGATCCATAGACTCCTCTCCTGGTAGAGCTGAGACTTGGGGTAGCCTCACGATGTCCACCTTGCCCAAGTCTCCTAGAACACTCCCCCCCACACACACCTCTGGTTGCCAAGAAGATACGTCCTAACACCTCACTGGGAAATAGGCAAATTTCATCTCTACCCTTTGGACTCTCAAAAGGACATGAATTGAAGCCAAGGCTTCAAAGTTCTGTGATGATCATACTTAAATTGTGTTGTTAGGTGCACCTGGCTGGCTCGTGATCTTGGGGTGGTGACTTAAAGCCCCATGTTGGGTGTAGAGATCACCTAAATAAATAAACTTAAAAAAAAAAAAAAAGATGATATTGTTAAACCCTTCTGAACCATGACTAGAGGCTTGGAGGAGAGACTGAGGTTGTGGATTTCCACAGTGCTGTGCAGGGATTTACACAATGTACATCCACTCCAACTTATAATTTTTGGTCTTTTCTTTTTTGTTCCCAAGAAAAGAGACCACTAACATCCCTAGGGGTGAGGCCTGAGGTCAAGACAGGGCCTGCTCTGCTGAGGGCCACAGGGAGAAACCTGGGCGTCAGTCCACCACG